TTTTTCGTTTTTTGAGCCCCTCTCTCTTTTAGAATTGCTGACATTTTTACTTATTGTTTGCGCGACCATTTCCAGATTACTCCACAACAAAGTGAAGAGAGGTGAATGCAGACATACTGGGCAGCGATCACCTGATAGATACGTGCGCATATCGTTCAAAAGTCAAATATAGAATAAATGCGTTTGATTGGTAAACCTAATTCAGACTTTACGTTTCAATCTCAAATGGTAATGCATGGAATTTACGGAAAAGCTCAACTAAATAACAGCGCTAATAAATGGGGGGCGTGGTGGCTTTGGTGATCGGGGCTCCAGTCAATCTACTCCACAGGCAATCACGGGCCCCCTCCTTGCTCGGGCCCCGGGGCTTCAGCCCCGCCTAGCCCAATGGTTAAAACGGCCCTGTCGCTACCCACAATTCTTTGCTACAACCTGAACTAATAACACTTAGACATTACAGGACCATATCAGTGACGTCATTAAGCATGATAATTTTTATCGCAAATACAATGGTCTTAAACCTTTGACCAGTAGGTGGCAGTGTTATTTTAGCATCACTGAGATACTATTATAGTTACTGTTCATATTTTAAATTAGATTGTATTTTTATATTTTCTGTTTTTACTTTAATTTTAGTTAAAGTTTTAATAATTTTGTTGTGTATTTATGTAATTTTTTGCAGTAAAATTAATACATTAAATAATAAAAACCATATTGTTTATAATTAATTTTTATTTCAGTTATATATCAAGTTAAACTACATAAATGTCTCCTTAAATTAACAAAAACACTACTTGAAATTCTGAAATGTCTATGCTTTTTTATTTTTATAGTTTTTAAAAATATATATTTTATTTATTCATTGTTATTATTTTTCATTAAAACCAAAATGAGAAATGTTGCCTTGGCAATAAGCTGAAATTTAAAAAAAAGTTGATAACATTTTTTTTTTTCAGTTCAATTGTTTTATAGATTTTACTTATAAATTTGTAGTATTTTTTATTTAATCAAAAATGAGAAATATTGCCTTGGCAACTTTCTGAAACAAAATAAGTTAATATTTATTTAATTTCAAGTAACATTTTTTAAATAATAAAAACTATATAATTTTTTATTAATTCTTATTTCGGGTTTAGTTATTTTAACATCAAGTTATAATAACTGAGAGATGATAAATGTTTCCTTGCTGAGCAACTAGCTGAAATATCATACAATTTGTATTAGTTTTTATTTTTTTAATATGTCTATATAGTTTTTTTTTTAAATAATTGATTTTATTTATTATTTTTTATTTAAACACTAAAACAAAAAAAAATGCTGCCCTGTCAACTAGCTGAAATAAATTTACAGTTTTTTAATATTTTATTTTATTTCAGTTAAAATGTATTTAATTTCTAGTAACGACAATGTTTTTATGGTTTTAGTTATTAGTTCGGTGATTTTAGTTTTAAGTATAATAACTAGGTGGCGCTGCACACATGATGGGTCAATCCAAACAGGCTGATCTAGACACTAATGATCGAATAAGAAGAGACACAGAGAGATGTCTGACTCGCATGAACATGCTCTCTCCGCAGGAAGTGGCTTCAGACGGCGGGAGCTCAGAGGTCAGAGGTCAGCGGCTCTTACCATGAGCGAGTGTCTGTTGGAGGGCAGCAGTCCGCCGCTGTATCCGGCGCTCAGGCCGCCCATGGCTCCGTTGTGAGAGTGAGACGGAGTGATCAGTCCGTGCATGTCTGCGTGAGTGCCAGGCATCGCTGTGGACTGTCCGACCGCGTGACTGCGCAACACGTGGATGGCATCGTCCAGCCGCTCCAGCCTGTCCTCGATACGACTCTGCTGCAGGACAGAGACACACAATCAGCATGATCAAACCCGTTTCACACTCAATCTACTGCATTAGGGCTGTCAAAACGGCTGAAAAACTAAATTCGATTTTTGTACTAAAATATCATCAATATTCGAATTATATTCGAATTTAAAAGGCATAATTTCTGTTAGGGGGGAAAAAAGCTCTTGGCTTCTCTCTTGAGGCCACAAGAGGGCGCATCGAGCAAAATATTGTATCTCGGCCAAATATTGTGCTATCCTAACAAACCTTACATCAATGGAAAGCGTATTTATTCAGCTTTCAGATGATGCATAAATCTCAATTTCGAAAAATTGACACTTGGTTTTGTGCTCCAGGGTCACATATAATTAATTACATTGCTTAAACAATTAGAAACAAAACAGCATCATGTATGTACGTATAGTTTAATACAAAGGACCGAAAACCAATCACAATGAGTACTTTCTTCATTTAAAAACATGAGATGCAGTGGGATGCAGAAAAACCGCCATAAAGTCTTGAGACATGTTTATTAAAAGTTGAACTTGCATTAATTTTACATGGCTTTCTGAACATGCGGTTCTCTCGTGCGGTTGTGGCTAGAAGGGATACAGCGAAAACCGGAAGCTAACAATAAATGTAATTTTCTACATCATGTTCTCACACAACGCTCGGCACTTACTCCTGATTTCTGTCACCATGGCAACACCAGAACTGTCACTCAAGACATGGAAACAAAGTAACTGGAGTTACTCATTTGAAAAAGTAACTCAGATATTTCCTTCTAAATTAAAAGGTAATGCGTTACACATTACATGATTCTCCATCAATCATTTTTGAGAAAAATCAGTGCGTCTCAAATCTGATCCTCAGGATCTTTTGAGGAGCGTTTGTTTCCAGAAGCTTTACTTTCACTGTTCCTCAGCGGAGGAATGATCTTCACAAGCCTCCAGAACATCTCACATCTTCTGAGGAGCCTTTATTTCTTCAGCTCTCAATCACTGCATTATATGTTTGGAGCATTTCAATCTCATTTTGTAGGAACAGAGTTTGTGTTTCTGTGTCTGTATTTCTCACCAGCGAGTGCAGCGGCGGCTCGTAACTCGGGGACGAGGCTCCCTGACCGTTTCTGGACCAGACGGCTGTACTGGCAGCTAAAGAGACAAAAACATCTTCATCATCATCATCATCATCATCATAGAGAACAACAACCGTCTCTAGCAACATTCTGATTAACAAAACAAATGATGAGATTTAACAGCTTATTAATCAGTCTTATTTAACTTTCACTGATATACTATTACAGTTTTGTTAATATTTTGAATTAGATTTGTTGTTTTCTGTTTTCAATTGAATTTTAGTTGAAGTCTGAATAGTTTTACTGTTTTTTAAATTTTCATTAGGTAGTTTTTTTTTTAACTTTAACTTTAACACACACACACACACACAAAACAAACAAACAAACAAACAAATGAAACAAAACATTTTGGTTACTTGAAATAAAATAAAGGTTAACTGAAATAAAATATAAATTTTTATGGCAACATTTCTCATTTTAACTTAGTTTGACTTATCAACTTACATTTTTGAATGTACTAAAATAACTAAAAATGAAATAAAAATGAATAAAAACTCATATATATACTCATATCCCCATATATATAAATAAAACCAAAAACTACTAAAAACACCAAAAACACACAACAAAATTACTAAAACATTAACTAAAATTAAAATGGAAACAAAATATGAAAACAAAATTCATTAATAAAAACTACATAAAATTAATAAAATATTAATAAAAACTATAATAGTATTTCAATCATACTAAAACAACCCTGCATTGAAATACAATTGATATTTTTTTAATTTTAGATTTTTTTTATAGTTTTCACTTTATTTGTAAAATTTGTATAATTTTGTTGTGTTTTTGTAACGCGGTCGGTCCAAAGTCCTGTAACTTCTTTTAATATGTCTGTAATAGCATTTAATTTAACACACGCATGCATGCACGCACACAGACACACACACACACACACACACACACACACAGACACAGATTTAGTTCCCACTGAGCTCAGGCTTCAGCTGTCCATGCTCTGGATGTCACAGGACAAAAACTTAGTGCATGCTCTTCTACACACATTCCAAACAAGCTACACATCTACAAAGAGGGCTGGCGAAAAGTAACATTACATTATTTGCTTGTTATATGTTATTCCTTAAAAAACAGCTAATTAGGTAACATTCTTAAAAAAATAAGAATTATATATTATATTTTCTTAGTGTGTATGTATCCACTATTACATTGAATAATATTAAATTAAATAACAAAATATTAATGAAATATTTTATTTAATATATAAATATTTTTTAAATAATAATTATTTATTTCTTGCTTTTTTGTATTTAATATAATTAGGTTTTTACAGAATTTAATTTAATTTAATTTAATTTAATTTAATTTCATTTAATTTCATTTAATTTTATTTTAACTAATCAAAAATGAGAAATGATGCCTTGGCAACTAGCTGAAATAAAATAATTTTGAATTTTTATGTTTTATTTTATTTCAGTTTGATTTAATTTCACCTGAAGCTTCATGAATATAATGGTTTTGCTTTTATTTTCGAGAGACTGATCATTTTTAATCCTTGTTTATGTGGTCAAATCTTTCTTCTGGCCTAATGCTAAAACATTCTCCTCGTATCCTATAAAGGTGACGACCCTCATGCTAATAACACCTCGTTATTCTTTCATTCTCGAGTTAAGATGCAAACTCGTTTGCGGCGGCCGGTTCACAGCGGTAATTAGAGAGGTTCATCCGTTCTCCCTGACCTTCACCTGTTTGCGTTTGCGGCATCCGCTCATTACGCACGTCGCGTCTAATTATGTTGTGTTTTTTCAAATCGTACTTCTTTACAGAAACACGCATTTCAGACGCTTCCCTGTATTATTAAACCTCATTTCCAAATGCTAATTAGCACATAATTACAGCCACATTCATGTGCAAATAAATTTTGCATGTATCCGCGCTGCCGCCAATGAGAAAATTATTAAATTAGTTACTTAAACTTCCCTCGCATGTTTAAGTTTAAATATTAATTTGCGGTTGCGCATTTAATGGTTGGTGGTCTAATAACTTTGGCACTCGGAGAAATAGCAATTAGGTGGCGGTCGTTTCATAGCGATGCAAATAATGACTCGTTAATCAGGCCTTGAGATGAAGTGTGTTTCAGAGTTTGAATCATATATGAAGAATGAAACATAAAAAGCTTTTCAACTTGAAATCAATGGCTTTAGCAGTGTGCAGTATATATATATTTTAAGTAATTTATTTTTATATGCATAAAATCATTTATTTTAGTAGGAGATATTGATATTTACTTAAGACTTGACATTTCATTTCCAGTATGATGTATTTATCTGACAAAAGTAATATATTTTAAGTGTAAATTTTGTAAAAAAAAGTTTGTTCATTTTGTTGTGTGTTGTTGATTTTTAAATATATGTTTTATCTGTCTATATAGTTTTTATTAATTTTTATTTCAGTTTTAATTTGACTTATTTTAGTACAATGTTTCCTTGGGAAGTAGCTGAAATAAAGTTTTTTTTTAAGGTTTTAATTTTAGTTAACTGTAATAAACTGGCACATAAATAACAGTACTCAGTATATATTGCATATTAAAGCAGTAAACAGAGAGTAATCAGGTGACTGGCATCAGTGCAAACAGCTGTGTGTGTGTTTAAACTCTGTTAAGAATAAACACACACACACACACACTCTCATACACACACACACACACACTCTCAAACTGTATATTCTATTGCCCTACACCAACCCTACCCCTAAACCTACCCCTCACAGGAAACTATTGGCAATTTTTGAATTTCATAAAACACCGTTTTGTATGTTTTTTAAGCCTTTTGTTTTACGGGGACACAGGAAGTGTCCTCATAAACCATGTTTACGTTGTAGTACCCATGTCATTATACACATTTGTGTCCTCATAAACCATATATACCTGTACACACACACACACACACACACACACACACACAGTGTGTTACCTGTGAGCGAGGGAGGAGATCCCACAGGAGTGGATGGGTTGGATGAGAAGCTGTTATTGGTGTGATCGGGGGAATAGATCTACAAACACAACAAACACACAGCAATGACAAACCAGAACAAACACACACATCATCATCATCATCATCAGTGTGTATGAATCCACATTCATCTGAATGATTTTGCTGGCTAAGATGTTTTTTGAAAGGCAACATGAAGTCACATGTAGCTGTTTACTTTTTTTAATAAATGTGTCTTTTAATAATATAATTAAACACAGTATAATTTAGTAATATGCCAACTTTACTTAGCATATTACTTGTGCACAATGCACATTTCTTAATATTAAGTCTAAAATGTGTTTTAATGTCACTTTTGATGAGGATTGTATGATCTTTGAATAATATCAGACTTTAAATGCAAAATATTTAAAGTGTACATGAAGTATACTTACAATAGTTCCACTTTAGCACAAATATACTAAGTATATCTTTAATTGTACTTCAGCAGCTTCCGCACAATTAGAAAAAGTGCATTAAGTACAAAATTAATTGTTCCAATTCAGCAGACTTTAAGTATACCAGTTTAGTACAACTGCAGGGTATTTTATTAAGTACATAAATATGAAAATGCATTTGTAGTATATTTAGCATGAAATAAATGTATTTCAAATACATTTAAGTATATTTATTTTTCACTAAGGTAGATACAGTATAAACTCAGAAAGTCCCAACTTTTTTAATTTTATTCAGGGGCGGAAACATAACATAACTTATAACTCAGAAAAAACATCACTAGAGAAGTCGAATGTGTCGTGAATGCGGTTTCATGTTGCTGTAGATCATGTGTGTATCTGTATATATTGCTGTATCTGTCAGGGTCTGTGTTAGAGCTGGTCACTCACTGAAGCCAGAGCCTTTCCTAACGCGTCTCCCGTCTGTGAGCTGCTTCCCGCTGCGCTCGATGCTCGATTCGCTGAAACACAACAGATCAGAGAGACTTCATACTCCAGTTCATTCAAATAAGATGTAGACAAAAGTGCTGACTTTAAAGGGGGTCATATGATGCGATTTCAATGTATCCTTTCTCTTTGGAGTGTTACAAGCTATTTCATTACACCAAATACACAAAATAATGTTCTTTTTAGCAACATCATATGACCCCTTTAAAATAACACTTTCAATGATTTAATATGAGACACACAAGGTTTTAAATAAGCTTAAAATCAAAAATCATATTTCTTAGTTCATTCCCTATTAGATTTCTAGACCTGAAAAAATTATGGAAATTATATTAATGGAATTAAATTAATATTAAAAGCTCATGGGAATTTATTAGTGCTGTCAAACGATTTATCGCATCCAAAATAAAAGTTTTTGTTTATATAATATATGTGTGTAAATGTTTAATATAAACAGCATATTTCTCTGAAATTATACATGCATGAGTGTGTATTTATATATACATAATAAATATACACAGTACACACACACATATTATGTAAACAAAAACGTTTATTTTGGATGCAATTAATCATTTGACAGCACTATAATGAATACACATTTTCTAGCTATGTCAAGCTCTAAAATATTTTGTTGAGCAAAAATTGCAGAGATATTGTCATTTGTGAGTTATAAATATTTTTTTAAATATTAATTTCATATAAATTAATTATTAAACCCTGAAGTTTTAATTTAATTTAATTTAATTTAATTTAATTTAATTTAATTTAATTTACACTGGGTTTTAATAAATAAAAAAATAAAAAACCTACATGGAGTCAGAAAAGTTGAGAATCACATGCTTGTGACGGTTAATATTTACTTCAACTTCACAAAAACATTTTGAAAACAGAAAATGTTCATGCAATGCTGATTTCTGAACTGACAGATGGAGGAATGACTAATGCTGCTCATCAGTCGATCAGAAAGAGTTATGGATCATCTTAACATGGCTAGACCTGTTGATTAATCACTAATGTTGTTGGGCAGCTGAACCTGATCACCTGTAGTTCCCTTTGCTCCTTCTGATTTATTATCTTAATATTCCAGCTTTGCTTTTGTTTGCACTGTGATAGAGTGACTGAAGTGAAGAGAATCAAATCTTCACTTGGCTTAGATTCGGAGGGGACTCACCCATGACGCTCTCTGTCCCGTTGGTGGTGGTGGAGCAGGAGGCCGCGCTGTAGTGATTCGTCCCGCCGCTGCGATGGAAACTGGACATGGGAGGAAGACTGGGGTTAATCTCAGCTGACGAGTGCGACGGGTAACTCTGAAAAACACAGAGAGCGAGAGCGTTTGAGTTCATTTCATTTTCATTCAAAGACAGTTCATAGGAGTTATTGTTCATATACATTAGATTTACATGGCTTTATAGGGTCAGAATTCGGCACTACACCGGTATTGTCTGCTATCAAGGCATCGCGAGTTCACATTTTACTGCAGAAGCCGACAAGCGCACTTGCTGTTTTTGAACAGAAGCCGATAAGTCCATTCAGGTGTATTCAGGTCAGGTGACAAGGCTACTTTCACTTTGAAAAGACGCGCTAGCTGAGAGGAGTTTCATCAGAGCTGACTAAAAGTGATCGAGGATGGATCATTTCGACGAACTTGATGAACCTGTCATATCTTCTTTGGGGCATCAAAGGAAAATAAAAGTGAAGCATTTTCACGGAACTTTGCTAAAGCAGCACGTTACAGTGGTGAGGGAAAAGCTCCCTATGGCGTGTAATCACAACAACAAATGTCAGGCGTCTACATTGTCAGCTGAGGAGATTACAAAGATTAAAAAAGGGTTTTTATTTAACTCTGAAATATGAAATGTGGAGTTATCTGCTTTTGCTATAAAACAAGCTTTTAATATATAAAAAAACATACAATGACCTTTAATTTTGTAAGTTACCTGTATTTGTTTAAGTTATTATTACTCAATTATGCAGTTGCTAGGGTGTTCTGAGTGTTTTAGGCTCTGTTGCTATGCAGTTGCTAGGGTGTTCTGAGTGTTTTAGGCTATTGTGTTATGCAGTTGCTAGGGTGTTCTGAGTGTTTTAGGCAGTTGTTTCATCAGGTGTGTGTGGTTTACCTGGCATAAAGAAGGAACTGGGAAAGCTGCTTCCCGGTGCTTTAGAAGACGGGTAACCCGGTGAGTCCCGGTTGTAATCGGCAGTGCTGGCGGATGGGGCGTATACCTGAAACACACACACAACACGCCATGATCAGGACGGCTAATGACACAAAACACACTGTCAATGTACATTTCACTTAATATTTTATGCCATGCATTAAGAACCATCAGAGAAGAGACGGAAACAGAGCGAAACTCTTTCCCTGGAAAAAATGTTCATGTTCCCAAAGTGTTGCGACACGATAATTTAGTGCAAATGTGAGACGAGCAGCTGTGGCGGATCAGCGATGACATCAGCACACAAACAGCAGAGCATTCCTGTCTGGAAAACTGTGCTGTAATGACTAGCAGGAACGCTGGGAATATGCCGGATGGGAATATGGAGCTGGGATAAACACAGCGGATGTGTGAGGACAGAACGACCCTCAGAGATACACCTCAAAAACAAGAACACAGGCGATGGAAAATCACATCTCAAATGCTTCTCCTGTACCAAAAGCAGAGCAAATGGAAACTAAATTGTTGAAAAATCTGAAACAAATGTAAATGAAGCTCAACTGAAAACATCTCCAGAGCTCAAGGGTGGAGTTTGAGGAGTTTTATGGAGACCAAGAGACTTCAGCACAGATGGAGGACTTT